TGGCAAAAAAGAAAATGACATAGACAACCTCAACAGTTTGTTTGCAAAAAAGTAGCAAGAAACTTTGGTTCTCATTAGGGGTGGCAATGGGGCGGGGTTGGGGCGGAAGACCCCTCCCCCACCCCCCGCCCATTGCCTATAATTCCCCTCTCCCCACCCTGCCCTGCTTCCCCCGCAAGGGCACCCGTGGAGTTAAAGAAGTTTTATTATAATTAAATTTTAGCAAATAATTAAGTACTAAAATATAAACACATCACCAAATTATTATTCGTTATAACTTCACAATTGAAACTTATAAAAATAATTAAAAAAAGTTATTTGAATATAATCTAATATGATAAAACAAATATAACTAAAATAATCAATTTTTTACTTTTGATACAAATACAATCACTAAATTATTATTGTATTTTTTTAAAAAAATTATTATTGTATTAAGTGTAGTTAAGAATTTAATATAAATGTATTAATAAATTTAGTATAAATAATTAATCATTTTTATTAATAGACATGTATAATTAGTAGTATAATTGATAATATCATTATATATATAATTATGTACATATATATTTTTTTTCAAACGGCCCTGCCCCGTTTCAAAACGGAGGGAAAAAAATTCCCCCCACCCTACGCCCCACGGGCACCCGCCCTCATTGCCATCCTTAGTTCTCAGGACTCTTTGTTTTACTTTGGACTTACCAAGTCTCCTTAATTGTTGTTTAGTTCGTTTTAGGATTGCTATCCTAAAATGTAGCACTATTACTTCATTAGATATTCAAGAAAGTTCTTTTCCAAAAGTGTATTAATACAAGAATTCTTAACTTTTTTGTGTCCAATCAGAATTTTTTGAGCTCTTACTTGTACTTAGTTTACTTGATTTGATTTTTTCTTTTTGTGGTTAAATAAGATGGAAGAAGAGGAACCTTGAAGCAAGTGATGGTAATTATGATGTAGGCTTTGACATTCAATCTTAATAAGACTTAAGTATTTGTGTTCAGGAAGGAGATTAATTGTATCAATTGCAATGGCAATGCCAGGTGAAGAATTCAAAGGATGTTTTGCTTGACTCGCCATTTTGCGCTGGAGTTTATGACACTCAGAGTTAGTATGGCCTAAGCGATGAAAATATCGACACTCAGTAGTCGATTTATTGGTGGAAGCAGGTGGCAAGGATGTAGATTGATGACATGTCAAAGAATGAAGAATAGCAAGGACCATATCAGCAGAGTGCGGAATAGAAATGTGCCTGTGAGTTTCTTCAGACATTAGGTCTTTTTTTTTTTTTTGCTAAAGTATTTGTAACCTTATTTGCTTCTCTAGGAACCCATTGAACATCAACATGAATTTGTTCTAATAAAACCAATCGCACATCTTCAATGTTTTTTTTTTTTTAAAGCAAAAGCCTTAGCCCCTAAAAGCAAAACGGAAGTTACAAAAATTTTGCAGATCCAAAGCCAAAAGTCCCCTAGTACGAGTCGGCAACTGTGAGCCCTTAGTGAAAATAACTCGAGTACCTGACATGGCCCCATATGCAGCTAGCGAATCCGCCACTGTATTCTCCTCCCGGTAGCAATGGCAGAAGTGGTGAGAGCTTGGCTCACCCATTCGAATAGCACGAACTATAGGCCGAATCCCCGCGGGGACTCCCCATTCCCCCCTTAAACACTTAATCAGAACCAGGCAGTCAGATTCTACGATTAACTGAGAGACCCCTACTTGGCGCCCCAATTGAAACCCCAAGAGGAGTGCGCGAGCCTCCGCCTGCAAAGAGTCCACACCACCAAATGAATCCGCAAAAGCAACAATAAACCTCCCACACGAATCCCTAATCACCCCTCCGCCCCCGCTACCACGCTCTGTGGCACAACCATCAGTGTTTAACTTGAAGCAGCCCGTCGTAGGGAAAGCCCACCTGACCGCCGTTGCAGTTAAAGCCCTCCGAACCACAGACAGGGCCTTCAGAAGTTCATCCCATTGGCCAAGCACCGTAATACCCGAAAAATGGGCTCTGACAAGCATTCTTACCTCATGTACAATAAGAGCTCGAACCTGCGAGCCGCCAATCTTGCGACCCTCGAACTGGACATATTCCTGGCCTGCCATAGAAACCATAAAATGAGGATTGGGAGAATACGCATTAACCAGCGTATAACCTTACCTTTCACGGGGAGTAACCACCAAGTGGCGCACCGGGAACGAATCGTGGCAGCCGATGTCGATAATCCAAGAGAATGCTCAAAAAACGCCCATGTCGCAGAGGCTAGCTGCCCTGTTAAGAAAACATGTTCCATCGTCTCTAACTGGCCAAGCACACAGCAGTGACATTTAGAAGGACCATGAATTTGGAACTTTTCGAGCACGTCATCCATCGGCAACTGGCCGTTCACTAAATTCCACATAAAGAAAGATAATTTACGCGGGATGAAGGAATGCCAAAAGAAAGAGAAAACCCAGGAGCGAGCCCTAGCCGGCCGAACAAGTTGATATGCCGACCTAATCGAGAAAACTCCTGAAGGATCCCGTAACCAAACTAGGGTATCTGGATCCAACCCAAAACAGAAAAAGGATCCCTGGGCAGCGTCCCTAATCACTGCGGGCACCGATGCCAAAGCCGAATAATCCCATCTCCCTTCTCGTAAAAAAGCCGTAGCCCTTGCATCCGACGCCTCCTCAGGAAACCTCCACGCCAATGGGCCTAGCCCACTCCAATTATCCCGCCAGAAAGCCACCTCCCCTCTCGAGAGATCCCACAACAACCAATGCTCCATGGTTGTACGGGCGCTAAGCATACGTTTACACGTAGCAGACAATTGGACAGGAAACGGACCTTGATTTGGATGCAGAGGCCCGAAATATCTAGCCCTCATGAACTACGCCCAGAGAGATTGCCCATGTCTAAACATCCACCAAAGCTTACAGGAGAAAGCCTCCACAATCGCCTGAAGAGACCGAAAACCAACCCCTCCTTCCTCCACCGGAAAACATAAATTCTCCCACTTCGACCAGTGCCGTTTCGCTCCAAACTCCGTCTCACCCCAAAAGAACCTCGCCAAAACCCTCTCCAGATCAGAAATCACCCCCTTTGGGGGCTCTATTACCGCAAGAAGATGAATAGGCATGGACGACAATACATGCTTAATCAATAGGGCCCGAGCACTCATAGATAACCACCGACCATGCCAGGAGGCATTCCGTTGGGAAACTTTAGTCAGCAAGTCAGAAAATAAGGCTTTCACTCATCTCCCCTCAAACAACGGGCATCCCAAGTACGTGACCGGTAAAGATCTAGGACAGAAACTAGTGACGTGAGCAATTATCTTCCTGCGAGCCACCGAAGTCTTCTTGCCAACCAAAAAACAGCTCTTCGCCACGTTCACCAGCTGCCCTGACACCTCCTGATAACCCTGTAGCACCTCCCTGACACACTCCAAGGACCGCTTTCCACCATTGCAGAAAACGATGACGTCATCAGCATAGGCCAGATGTGTCAGTGGCGGAGAGTCCCGCGACACCAAGAATGGGACAAACATCGAGTCTCGAGGTAGCTCATTCAAGCGCCTAGACAAAACCTCCGCTGCAATAATAAATAGGGCCGGGGATAAAGGGTCCCCTTGACGCAACCCACGAGAGGATTGGAAGAATCCGCAAGGCTTCCCATTAACCAGAACCGAAAAATGACACGACGAGATCAGCCTCCAAACCATATCAAGCCATTGCTCCCCAAATCCAAACTGTCTCATAACTTGGATGAGGAAATTCCAAGATACCCGATCATACGCCTTGGCCATGTCTAGTTTGAGAGCAACATTAGATCCCCGCACCTTCTTCTCTAACGCCGAGCACATCTCTAAGGCCAGCAAAATGTTATCCGAGATTTGTCGACCCTTTACAAAGCCACTCTGTTGCGGCGAAATTATTTTTGGCAGCACGCTTTCCAAGCGCCTTGCTAACAGCTTGGAAATGATTTTATTGATAAAATTGCACAAGCTAATCGAGCGAAACTCTGAGAAAGAGGAAGCCCCGGGAACCTTGGGAATCAAAGCCAACCATGTAGACGTATAGCCCCAGGGTAGCTCCGCTCCTGCAAAAAAATCACCAACCGCCCTGACAATATCCACCTTCACTATCTCCCAACAAGTCGTGAAAAAAGTCCCCTTGAAGCCATCTGGACCCGAACTACTCTCACCATCCATCTGGAAAACGACTGACCTGATTTCCTCCTCTGTGGGGAACCGTTGGAGACTCGCATTATCCTGTTCAGTAATAATCGACGGGATCACCCTAAGTAGAGAGGGGTCCACCTGCCCCCGGTCAGGTTGTGACAGAATGCCCTCAAAGAAAGCAACCACCAAATCCTCAATCCGGCCGGCCTCCTCCGTCCAAACCCCGTCACCATCTTTTACCCGATGTATAAACGAGCGAGCCCTCCGCTGCTTCACCTGTGCATGGAAAAACTTAGAATTGGCATCCCCCTCCCGAAGCCACAGCAAGCATGCCTTCTGACGCCAAAAGCCCGCCTCCGTAAGCAACGATTGCTTGAATTCACCCTGAGCCTGTACCAGCTGATATAGCCATTCCTCTAATGGACCCTCCTCTAAAGAGCATTCCAGAGCCGAGACCTTCGCCTCATGCTCCCTCACACGATCAAATATATTCTCAAAAACCTCTTTATTCCATCTGCGCAATGCCTGCTTTACCGCTTTTAGCTTCCTGAGTAGGACTTTAATCGGCCGCCCCTCACCCTGCCCCTCCCATGCCTGCCTAACCACACTCTGGAAATCAGGATGCGACCTCCAAACATCAAGGAATCGAAAATTGGTAGGAACCCCACCCCTCGCCATAGAACAAGAGACTAACAAAGGAGAGTGATTTGAAGCAACCCTACTCAAATGGGCAACCGACGTGGTGACCGATAGGTTCAACCACTCCTGGTTAACGAAAACCCTGTCTAAGCGCTTCCAAACCCTGGCTCTGCCCCAACGATTGTTACACCATGTAAACTAGGATCCAGTGAACCCCAAGTCTGCCAAATCAGCATCCTCAATTAAGCCTAGGAAGGAGTCCGACTCCCTCGCACAAAAAGGACGCCCCCCTTTCTTTTCATTGGCACCAGTAATAACATTGAAATCTCCTAGAACTATCACCGGTCCCCCTCGTGGGCAGACCCCCACCAACTGACGCCAGAGCACCTCACGCTCTTGGGAAACACACGAGGCATGAACAAAAACCGCAACAAAGGAACTCCGTAAGGCGGAGTGAGTCACCCGCAGCGCCAAAAACTGAGACGAGGCAGCCAACAAGTCGCAACTGAAATCATGGTCAAACATCACCAACAACCTGCTCTCCGCATTAGAGATAGCCTGGGGGAAACCTAACTTTTGACAAATAATATCAAGACGCACGCGACCCACCTTCGGTTCGCACAAAGCTAACAAAGAGATCTTATGCATCTGCTTCAACTTCCTCAACCGAGCTATGGTAAGGGCATTATCCACGCCCCTAACATTCCAGAAGAGGGCTTTAATCATGACCGCGGTCTTAGAAAATAAGGAGGGGGCGAACCACCCTTCTTCCTGTCACGACGACTCACTACCATATGCCAGTTTCCAGAATCCCTCAACCCCTCCAACCCCTACTGCAAAACCCCTAAGGCCGAACCCGTTTCCACGCTGGCCTTACGAGGAGACAAATTGAGATTCGCGACCATAGCTCCCTGTTGATCCCCCACCTCCACCCAAACCTGGTCCACCAGAATTGGAGCCGCTAGACCCCCATTCTCACAGCCCAAAGCTGCCGTGTCCGCCTCCTCAAACACCTCCTCAGGTTCCTGAATCACTTGGTCTGCCAGCATGTGAATGATAGAATCCGCAGCCGCCTCAACTGCCCCCTCCACCAGCGCCGCAGCAGACAGACCATACTGCTGAAGAAAAACATCACCATCCCGCATTTCTCCTGGTAGCATCCCAATCTCAGCAGGCCGCGACGCATCCGAGCGCTCCACCTCCAGACATTCAGTAGCAGCAACACTCTGCAGCATCACAACATCCCCCACCGTATCAAGAACAGCACCCTCCAGACCTTGCCCCCCAACCTCAGGCTGCACCGCATCTCCCTCTACCCCAACAACAACCACACCATCCCGACTGTGCCCCTTGTGAGGAGATGACAGCCGACCCTCCGTCCCCAACACCTCCGACACCCCAACAGTTTTTGGCTTAAGCTGCGCTTTGGAAGGACGCAACTCTGGATGCTTCACATGACACAGGCCCTCTTCATGCCCTTGCCGATAGCAATGACCGCAATAGTTGGGCAGCTTCTTAGGGATGAGAGCCTGCCAGAAACCATCCCCATCCCCCATATTAACCCATACCCTTGAAGGGAATGACTTCAACAAATCCACTTCAACACATACCCACGCCACATTTGGGCGAGTAAAGGAGGAAGTAGCCGCATCCACAAACAATGGAGTCCCCAAACAAGAAACAATGTGAAAAAGACACGGTTTAGCAAACAAATGAATGGGCAGCTTAGGTAATCGAAACCAGACAGGAACTAGAGACGATTCCCTGTCCACATGGAACTTAGAACTCCACTTGAATACCCTCATTGGACAACCACACACATACCACAAATTCCTTGACCAGACACGGATGAAATCTGCCTCCCCATTAAACTTCAACAGGACATGCCTGGCGTCTAAAAGACCCACAGAAACAGAATCCTTTAAGTCAAGAGAAGAGAAGAACTTACGTACTTCCGGGAGCAAAGGTCGCCCTCTGGAAAATTTCCCAACAAGCGTGAATGTGAACGGCGAAGCAATAGCTGCAATGTCTGCCGCATTGAAAACCACCGCAGGCTCCCCACGGTGCGTAGACACTGCCGCCTGGACATTCACCACTTCCGCCAGCAACTGGTTCGCAAACAAGGCTGAGAAAGACTTCTTCTTGAATGTAGGAGAGATTGAAGGTCCCCCACTCGAGGGTGGAGGGGCAGCTGCGGCTGCCATGCCCCAAAGACACGCAAAACCCTAAACTTCTAAAAAAGGAAACCTCGGTAGAGAGAAAAATTCGTCCCAATAGAGTCCCCCTAAGCTTAAATAATTGGCCCCTTCAATGTTATTAAGTCTTTCAGAGTAGTATCAAGAGAAAGAAGTAACTTCCTATTGAGAAGAGAGGTGCGAGTAGCCTCAAAAATATCAAGCAATGCCATATGAAATTGAATAAGGCAATGAGTATCGGGATAGGCATAAACCTTATCTACTTCATTTTTATACTTCCACCGTGGTTCAGATTTAGTAATCTCATCCCAATCACATACCATATAGAAATAGAAATCATGAACAGAATGACCAAGTTATTGTTTTATAGCATGCAGAAAAAGAGACTGTTGATATTGATGAGAAGATTAGTTGCAGTATATTGATCTACCAAAAAATCCCAGACTCTCTTAGTAGTATCAAAAGGTTTGAAGAGGCGATTGATTGACAGCACGGAAGTGTTAGTGATCCAAGTGATAATTTTATGATTTTCAATATCCCACTCTTCAAAGTGTGCGTTGAATTTTTCAGAAGATTCTTCAGCAGTAGCAAGAGTGAAAGTTACACTAGCAATGACATATTTCCATAGTTTACGTCCACGAAGAAAATTTTTGAAAAGCTTAAGTCCAGTGAGAATAATTGATGCCATCAAGAATCACTACAATAATTTTAGACTCTTCATAAATTGTCAGATTAATGCAAGTCTGATGCAAAAGGGATGGTTGACCAAGGCACTGCGAGCGGAGTTTAAGTTGAGCTAGATGGTCCGATGACTCGAGCCCGTGCCAAGAAGCTTAAGGAGTCAATGTTATGACGCCCGAAAGGAAAAAAAAAATGCTGGTGAACAGTGTTAGCAAATCCGGCCGCATATCCGGCCAGTTCTTGGCCGGATTGCTGGCTAGATTGAGTTGGCCATTTGAAAAAAAAATTTGGTTTTTCTTCTGCCTTGAATCCAGCAGACTATCCGGCCGGATCCTATCGTGTCCAGCTTTTCTTAGCGATTAAGTCTTCACTTTTGACTATATTTGGGGTTCAAAAATCCCCTTTTCTTCCTCCATCAGCTGACCGAACCTCTTGGGGAGCAAAACAAGAGAGAAAACTCCTTTCTCTTCCTTTGTTTTCCTTCATTAATCTTGCGAGGTTTCTTTAAATTTCTGAAATCTACTCCGATTAACTTCATATCTAAGGTGATTGCTAGCTATTGGTGGAGTTGTTTTGGAGGGTCAAGCACTGAGCTACCTTGTTTCTTGTGGTTGTAAGGTAAGTGGCCAAGAAATCCTCTCTTTGTTCCTCATAATCGGAAATTAGTGGCTTGTAAAGGTTAAAGATGCTATTTTGTGGATGATTTCATGATTTCAAGTAGAGTTTGACCAATTTTTGATTTATTGGAGAATTTCTGATTTTATATGATTATTGTTAGTTGGTCATGGAATGATAGTTTGAGATAGTGTAAAATGGAGCCTTTGTGTGTTAGTTGTGGTTAATTGCAGAAAATTTTAGACTTTGTGCGGAAATTTCAGTTTTAGGGTTTTAATTTGGTGTTTTCTTAGGGTTGGTGCTTGGGCTCTTACTTGGTTAAGCTTTAAGGGTATTGTAGCCCTAATTATGTGTGTTTTATATCCTATGATTTGTATGTGTAATGGTGATTGAATTGAGATGAGTATTGATGTTATTTATAGGATGAAAAATAAGGAAATTAAAGGGAAATGCTGTCCAATCTTTGAGAGCATTTGATAGTTGTGTTATGTGAATCATTGATGTTATATGTGCTAGTTTCACTTGCCTTCGGAAACTCCAGATTATGTAGGTCAATATCCATGTTAGGGCTTCGAATTGGGGCTTAATTTTGATTGGTTTTGGAGCTATCAATTGGCTCATATTGAAGGGGCATTGTGGCCTAATTAGATATGTGGTATACCTTATGATTCGTGTGTGTAACGGTGGCTAGATACAAAGGTCAGTTAGAAGTGTAATTTCCATCTACCTTGTTTCTGGACTTAACTTGGACTGCCTATTTATTCATGTTTTAGACCGAACTAGCTATTGGGCAAAACATGAAACTTGTAGATACATGAGTTAGCTAGTTACCTGCAAAATTTCAGATTGATTAGAATGCTGTAACTTGTGAAATGGTTGAAATATCCTTGATTGCCCTTAAGCCCTGTTTTACAGACAGTTTCCATTTTTCTCTAAGTTTTTTATTTTTGACGATGACAATGTATGATTTGACTTTGGAGGTCTTCATAAGAACTGTTGGTATATGTCTTAGTTTCGTAACGCCATAAGATTCGTTTCAATGGGATGAGTGTAGCTTTACTTGTGATTAAAATGCCAAAAGGTGATAGGAACTTGCTGATTTTAGACTTCCTTTTGCTTGACATGATATTTGTAATCTAGGGCTTGGACTTGATCAAGGCAATGATCTATGATGGATGGTTCCTGAACTGTGGTTGGTGAGTGATTCCACAACTATTTTCAAAGTTACTTTTCGAACTAGTTTTTGCATTGGTTACTTGATTGCATATCATTTGTGTTTGTGTGTGTGCCATGACATGATTTGGCTCTATTGAGTTCTTGGGAATCTTGTGCTTAGAACCAACATCTCCACCACTGTTTGCCGGGAGCACAATGGCTCTCTATTACTGTTGGATTGTTAATTGATCTATGTGAGCGTTGGATATTTAAGTACAATGATTTCACTGGCTCACAAGAGCAAAATACATACTTTTGATCACTGATTCATGACATCATTTACATGCACTATCGTGAAGCTTATTTGATTGCCGATTTTACTAGTTACTCGCTGAGCTTCTAGCTCACCCAAAAAATATTTTATTTCCCCTCCACGGGGCTCAAGGCGAAGGAAGTGCTTGTAGTGCTTATTCATGTGACTGGATGGATATCTCCTGTACAGTTTGAATATCGTTTTATCTTGTGTAATATTTGAGACTGCGATTGTACTTGTAATTATGTGAGAACTGAGGACCTTTGTCTTATTCGGGAGATTAGTATTTGCTTCATTTTTTATATGTATATTCATAGGAAAATTGATGTATATTTGAGTTGTATTCCTTTTGTAATTTAATTGAGAACTGTAGTGAATGAGTGAGTCCCGGCGAGAGTTGGGTAGGCAGTCCGCCGAACCTTTTGGTTCGCCTTAGGAGGAGGTGGGGCTGTCACAGTTGGTATCAGAGTTTAGGCCTCCGATTTCTATAGTGTATCATAGGCTTAATGTTTAGGATGCCGGACTGTGGTGTTGGTTTATAAGTTAAGTGCTCTTTTGAAGCGTAAGCTGGGAATCTTGAAAGTGGTACGCGCAAGATATGATTTGGTTGATCTACGCTTGAGAGCGTACGGCCTGAGTTGTAAAGTTTCTTAGTTTTGATTTCTTATACTTGAGTCCTTGATTCTTTTCCTGAGGAAATGCTTGTGAATTTAGAAGGAATATGGTCTAATGTAGCATGATGTGAATAGAAATCATATGTGGATTTG